TCCTACAATTACCTATGATTAAGGATTCCCGAGGGAATCCGATACGTCAGGAAAATAAAACCCTTGTTCCAGTGATCGCATCTTCTTCTTCTAAACTGCTTCCTGGAACTCGCATATTCTCCTCTATTGGCAGTTTTCTTGGTCTCTAGGCTTACTTTATTAACCAATGGGTGTTCTTTTAATATATTTCTTGGTCTGCAGGCCTTCTTTTCGACCTTTCTTGCTTTTCCTTAACCTTTTCATCTAAATTTTCAGCTAAATAAAACAATTACAAGCTTCTTTAATTTCTTATTGCGTATTTTTCCCGCATCCAAGCGGTCCTTGGTTTCCCCCAGCCCCCCTTCCATTCCCTTTTACTACGAATTCCGTAAGAAACTTCGGCCGGGGGGGGAGATTGTTCACAAGAAAGCCTCGCCCAATTTTGCTTACTCCCGACTTTTCAAGGAATAGATTGAAGACTGATATGGACACATTTTCTGGTCACAGTAGGATGAAGGAGATTTATCTCAGTTACACTGCTTCTACCCGACATTGTTGCAACCAAATGCTTTAGTCACGCACTGGCTTCAATTGAACCCTCCGCATTTACCGCAGAACCAATGGGGAACTGCTAACAGGGAGGCCGGTCAACCGCCAAGTTGCCCTTATCTACCCGAGCGGTTCCTGTACATTCAGGTACCGCAATAGCGCAATCCGGTCGCATGCGCAGACATGAGATCGGCCCATAAAATATCAGCCGTTGTCGATCATGACGGACGACCGAGGGTGGTCTGCAAATTAATTTCAGACAACCCTGTAGCCTACAAAAATGGCTCGTAATTTAGTAAGAAACATTTTTATACAACTCTGCGTGCGGACTTCAAGAGGACCAGCTTTTAAAGCAGTCAGTATATTTGGAGTAAATGACAGAAGCCTTTAAAAGCTCACTGAAACGGTTCAGATGTGCATAAAAAGTGGTTAAGTTGCAAATAAATGTTAAAGATTGTATAAGTATGCGAAATGCATAAAAACAATAATGAAATGTTAAAGATAAAAAAGTGAATCATTTACGAAATAACAACGTACAACACGTTCACTGCATTCAGACTAGTAAATTTTCATTTTATGCCACTTTAATGCAAATAAATGGCCTATTGAAGTAATGGGAGTAGTATGTTTATAATCATGTATGTAGTCCCCTTAGATCAACGCATAATGGCAAGTGTGGAGCAATCTGGGGTTATTGTTTGAGAGCAATAATTTTGAGGTTAAAAACATGGAGAAGACAATCAGCATGTGGACATGCAAACAAACAGCCAGAAACCTTATCATATAAAACCGTGTAGAAATGGACCACTACCTGAAAACCACACCCAAGCTGGTTTTGGAGATCAGCGAAGGACGGAAGTTATACATTCCGGGATCTGGCTTCGTTCCAACATTATTAACCCTGTCACTGCCGATTGAGTCACGCACAAACACATACACGGACAATAATGTGCAAAAAAGTGGTTGAAAACGACACTCTGAAAACTTGTCAAACAAAGCCAAAACGTACCAGCTTGTCTCCAGTTCTCACAGAACAGCAAATATTGTTCTGCCTGGTAGACTTCGAAGAGCGACTGCAATTGTGGACTGTTGATGACAGAATGCAAAAAGGGGAGAAGTGGGGTCAGTGTTCTTAAACTGGAGTTAAGAAAACTCGTAAAAAAGACGAGATAAATAAAAAATGAATACAGAAGAGTATTTGGAGAGCATACGTAGCTTTCGATAAATTCTCTTTGGGCCGTTACATTTATATAGGGAGGCGTACAGGGTTACATGCTGGTAAGTATGTTATCACAAAACGCAAATTAGTCATGGGGATGAGGGAGGGCGTATGGGGTTGGTAGTAATCAGCTGGTTGCAAGTTGATGAGGGTTTGCTGAGTCCCCCCATCCCCTGTCCGGACTCAACAAATCCTCATCAACCTGCAACCAGCTGATTACTACCAACCCTACGCCCCCTCCCTCATCCCCATGACTAATTTG